TGTATTCGCTAACACAGGGACCAGACCCAGACGATACATGCACAGTAGTCTTTTCAACTAATTACAGCAGTGCACACAAGTTTAAATAACGAAAACTGTTGGTTACTAGCGGTCATAGGATGTTTTTGGAGTTTACACGTGGCAAAATTAGTATATAAAATTGCAAATACAAAATCCATGAAAAAACGTGGCCGCGTAATGTGAAACTTGGGAAGTCTGTCAATTGCATTTGACCCATCCTTTTAAGGCAAGAGTACCACCTGTCCAGAGCAGTGGTCGCTACTGCGCAGGACCCAGGAACCCAGATGTCGGTGCCTTCGGTCAGTACCTTTGCTCGAGGGTTTTGGCTTTTGGTGCATGTTTTTAATGGTAGGGGGTCATGTGGGTGAAAAACCAGGAGACCCAAAAATACTAAACTAAACTGCTAAATAATGGATTTAATAAAAAGTAATACAAATCAAGATCAAGCAATAACATCACAAAAAGTAACCAAACCGAGAACAAGGACAAGAACTGCCGAGGAATGACAATGACGGAACAAGCAGTGAAGGAAAACACAACATTTAAACACAAAACAAACAAGACACAGGTGATACACATGAGGGCGGGGCAGGAAATCAGGAAACAGGAAGTAACACTAAAGACACAGGGGTTTACAAGATGCAAAATAAAACAGAAGATAAACGTAAACCATGACAAGGGGAAACCGGAGCACCCAGAGGAAACCCACCCAAACGCAGGAAAAGGGTATAACCTTCTTGCTGTGAGGCATGAGCACCGCTGAACTCATTTATCAAACCTGGTGCTAAACTGTTGGTGTAAAGTGAAATAGCCCATACAAATGTTGTGCTTAATTGTACATAGGACATAAAGCAGATTGCTCCAATGTGAAGCGGCGCTAATCACTTTTGCACACACCCAAACCCTCAATAGATCTACCCCTTTGTGTTTTATGTCCGGCTTTAAGATAAAACTGTAATAAAGGGCTCGATAATTTCTCCGAAAAATAGAAACATGTGGCCAGTGGGGCTGTAATCACCACAGATGGGTGATTACGAGTGTGACTTTGAACCAGCCCCAGCACCGACGAGAGGCATATCGTGACAGAAACAAACTCATTCCCTTATTAGTGCCCGTCATTCCCAAACCGTCATTCCGACTCACACATTGGTGGCAGCTTGCGAGGTTTTTTTTTCCTGCCGGGAGATGAATCACGCTCTCCAGGCCACAGTGGGCTTCCTCTGCTGCATGTGAACCAGAAAGCCTCCAGCTGTTGCAGAGCTGCGAGGCCATTGGCTGCGTCCCTTTGAGCCACTAAGAGCTCATCAGCCAGCGCCATAACCCCAGTCATTAGACACCGCCGCGAAGCCCGGGCCCGCACCAGGAGAGAGACACACACACACACACACACACGTACACACTTTTACCAGCATGTGTGTGTGTGGCAGCAACAGCTCTGGTGGCATGGGAAGAAAAGTGTGTGGAAAACGTGAATGAAAGTTTCCAGTTTTTCAATCGAATGCCATGGTTTACTTCATGTATACGAATGATGTCGCACTCTACATGCATTAGCGCATTTTGTGACCCCGAGACGCTGCACATACAGTAAGTAAGTAATTATTCTTTATTTACTGTATATAGCGCTTTTCACAGACGCTTTATAATTGTTATTTTTGGGCACTTGCCTCTCATTCCACACAGAAATGGGAGCAGAGTCGCCAGTACAAGAGGAAAAGGCCAGACCTATTGTACAGATTTTTAGTGGTAGGGGAAACCGGAGCACCCGGAGGAAACCTACGCAGACACGGGGAGAACATGCAAACTCCACTCAGAAATGTCCTATTCTGACCGGGATTCAAACCCAGGACCTTCTTGCTATCCACTAAGCCGTGCCACCCAGTATTACTCATTCACTCTGTTCAAGGACTTGGTAAACTACTACTTGAGCCACAGCTGCCCTGGAGCAGACTGACAAGTGAGGAAACCGGTCTGCTCCATCAGCCTCTCCGACCAACACCAACCATTCTCTCTCACACCACACTCATCTGAAATGTGAAGTGTATTATTTGATTTGTTCATTTCTAAATCCTTTGGCGAGCTACTGGTGGCTCCTAACCCTAACAGTTTGGCAACCTTTACAACCTTTCATCCATTATGCTCCTTGTAAATGGATCGATAAGCCCAATGAATTTAAATATGCGCTGAGCTTATTTAGTTTTATAATCATTGTGTAATTTATCCAGTTGCATGGCTCCTTCCTGTGCAGCACACTGAGTTGCAGTTGTCAAAAAGTGAGTGATTGTGTTCTCCTCCAGCTGGGACATTGAGGAGCACAGGGACATACCTCCTGCTTGTACTCTGAGGAGCACAGGGACATACCTCCTGCTTGTACTCTGAGGAGCACAGGGACATACCTCCTGCTTGTACTCTGAGGAGCACAGGGACATACCTCCTGCTGGGACCTTGGACTAAGAGTTTCAGATTCATGCAGCTAAAATCCGGGACTTTGTGAATGTCTTCCTGAAAATGTGAGACAGGCTTCTTCTCTGACAATGTTCAAATCCAGGTTAAAAACAGTATTGAAGGAACTCTTTTTATAGTGTACTGTGATTATTCATGATTTTAATGGTTTGTGTGAGTGTGTCTATCTTCTTTTCTAAATATATGTCATACTTATTCATTACAAGAAAACACATCTAAACACGAAAACAACAACACACACAAAAGTACATAAAGATACACAAACAGAAACACATACAAAACAGCAAACCCTCAAACACCCACACAAATACACGCACGTCCTAGTTTTTTTTTACAAATTATTCACCTATAAACTTGCCTTGCCCGCGTGGATGCGTGTATGACCTGCTCGGATACATGTGCGCGGAGACGTGTAAAACAGCACGGACCTGGCTCCTGTGCGCGCTGCTGCATTCGTCACTGGCGTTTAATAAGTCATTAAGTCTCCCGTTCTCGCGCTAAATCACGAGCGTATTAATTACCCATGTTCTCATTAACCACAAATCCCCTGATGAGGATAAAACTCTCTCAAACATGGTTACTTGTCACAATCTCTCTTTCTCTGTCTGTGTGTGTGTGTGTGTGTGTGTGTGTGGCTTCTTCTCTGACAATCTTCAAATCCAGGTTTAAAACTGAGTGATTTTATCAGAAGAATTTTTAATGTCCATTCATTTATTCATTCATTGTCAACCCCTTTATTAGTCCATTTCTGGGTCGGGGGGGTAGCAATGAGAGCTCAAAAGCAACAGTCCCTGGCTGATCCACTGCAGGTGGTGAGTCCACAGGAAGATGGCTGCTCTGTCAATGGTGCCACAGCCCTGGTGTTTCAGCAGGAGGTTCAGGCAATGTGGGGTTAAGTGTCTTGGCCATGGACACAACGACATTAGTGGGAGCAGCTGGGTAGGTCATGTGATGGGCTCGAACCCACAACCTTCAAGCCTAAAGGCCAATGCTCTACCAACTGAGCTACTGAGCTTTAATGTAGTGTGATTTTTTTTAATGATTTGAATGCCTTTGCGTGCTTGTTTCTATCATGTTTTGTAAAAGGTCGATTTTCATGTCATGGGGTGGATTTTTTGATATTTTGTACTTGGTTTCATTTTAACTATCATTTCTCTATGGCTTCATTTTTAGTTTGACTTCGTGTTTCCCCTGTCTTGATTGTCTGCCCCGCCTTGATGTAAGTGAGTAAGTAATGTTTACTTATGTAGCACGTTTTACAGACCAAGGTCCCCCAAAGCGCTTTACAATGTTCAGATATTGCTCCAATCAATCCACACACGGCGATGACGGAAGCGAGTCGCCGAACACACTGAAGCATCAAAGCCCCTGATCAACACCATCCATTCACTCTCTGATTTACATGTATGCCTGTTGTACATGTTTATAGTGTTAGGGGGAACCGGAGCACCCGGAGGAAACCTACACAGGCACAGGGAGAACAAACTCCACTCAGAAAAGCCATGTTCCGACCGGGATTCGGACCCGGTCACCCACCTATGTTTCAGCTGTGTCTCTATGTGTCTATAATGTACCTGTGCTCCTCTCCCCTTGTTGCTGGTCCATTGTATTGTCTATGTCTTTGTTCGCCTGTGTTCCTGGTTTCTGAGGTTTGTTTTTTCCTGGACTTTAATTTGACTGTACATAATTAAATCATTATCGTTTGAATTCCTGCATTTTGGGTTCTTCCTTCATCTCACCCCACGTGACACATCAGGACTATTGGTCCTCCTAGCTGTCAATCATTCTGGTGAAACAAGACCAGAGAGTTTTTTCAAAAAGTGGGCGGTTCTTTCCAAAAATTTGGGAAAATCCTCTCATAAACCTGGAAGCACTTGAGTATGAACTGTGCTATACGAATAAACTTACCTTGCCTTGTGTGTGCGCCTGTGTGTCTGCGCGTGTGTGTGTGGGGTCCCGGGACGCACGATAGTTAAACTTAAACATATTTTTTCTCACTGTATGGGACAAACTCTCTCTCTCTTTCTTCTCTCTCTCTTTGTATGTGTGCGTGTGTGTGCAGGTGCATGTGCGTGCGTGCGTGTGTGTGTGGAGGGGGGTCCCAGGGCGCACGTGCATGGAATGAAAGGGAAGAGTGAATTAGCCAGTGCTTTGTGGTAACACGCGAGAAGACGGCGGGGAAGTGCGCAGAGTAGAGTCGGGCGCAGCAGCAGCAGCAGCAGCAGCATCAGTCGCAACAATTTCTCTCTCCTCCTGCACAGCTCCTCCCTCTCTCTCCCCCGCGCGCGCATCTGATCAAATCCCTCAACTTGGTCCAGTTCAGTTCACAGATTCGCATTCTGGGGAGTGCCCACAACTCGAAGGAGCAGTTTTGGAAGCATCCATAACGTGCCAGGCGTAAGGTTATCCATCCATCCCTGCAGCTCTACATCCCCAAGACCTTTACGCACGAAGAAAACGAAGTGGTTGTTGCTTGTTGTTGCTGTTTTTGTTGTTGTTGTTGTTGGTGTCGAGACATCATGGAGCGGAGGGTCAAGTGGTTGTCACACCTCGTGGCGCTGGTTTGCCTGCTCCAAGCCACCACCGCGGACTTAACTTGCAGGTCCTGTCACAGCGGGCATCTGTGGCGACTCAAGGAATTAACCACGGTGCGCTTTGGCGACGTTGGGGAAGTTTTGGCACGGAGCGGCGAGAGGAGCGCGGAGGAGGTGCACAAGCCGCTGGAGTTGAGCGGAGAAGTTGCAGGGTTGAAAGTGAGCGCGGGTAACGTGGGGGAGAGCGATGGGACAGGAGGACGCAGGGTGAGACGCGCGGATCTGCGATGGAGCGGGGAAGAGCGCAGAGGGGCCGCGGCGCAGAGGCAAGACGAGCTCAAACTCAACAGCTCCACGTTTGCCCTCTCTGGAGACTCGTCACACAACCAGGCCATGGTCCACTGGTCCGGACAGAACAGCAGCGTGAGTCCTCTGCTTGTTGTTTGTTATCACTCCCACTACAAATGGTTTTGGAGTCGACTCCCCCTTGTGCATTTGCTCATGTGTGCACAGCAGGTGTCTCCAACATATTTTCACCCAGAGAGCTTTATACTTTCCCGGGACGATTAAGGCAGAGAGTTCCTTTAAGTGGTCCTGGGGAAAAATGTGGGGATATATTGGGGTGAACGAGCCTTATATTGGGTATAGCCATTATTTATCATTGAATATTTGTTACTATAGTGCATAAAGTAAGTGCATTTACAATAATAAATTATGATAATAAATGATACAATCTGAAATATTAAGTGTATTATTTGATTTGTTAATTTCTAAATCCTTCGGCAAGCTACCTGTAAAGGGGTGGTGAGCTACTGGTGGCTCCTGAACTACAGGTTGGAGACCCCTGGTGTATAGTGTCTCATATAAAAGGCAAAAAGATAGAACTATCGAGTCTGAGTGTACTTACTACTTTTATATCTATAAAGTAAAAGGGCAATTCTATGCTTTCTAACAGCGCAAAATGAGCAAGTATGTGCAATAGAGTCCCATGCACGCAGCAATTGCAAACTCTGTGAATGTTAATTGCACTCTATTGCATAATTAGTCAAAGAAACACGTAGTCACATTAGAATAAACCATTAGAACAGACGTCAGGATCCAAGGCTCAGTTGTGGCTCATTTGACGACAGTGTCTGGCTCTCCGACAAATCTTAGGTATTCATAGTAACCATGGTAATGTTTTGTGTATTACATTTATAGGATTATATTTATATGAAAATGTTGATATCTTCTTATGTTCTGAGACTAATCTTGTTAAAAAATTCACACATTTTCACAATTTAAAAAAAAGCATGACGCCCACAGATTCTTTTTGTTTTTAAGTATGAAACTTTTTTGCTTCTCTCAGCTTAAAAATTATCCTGACCTCATTAGAATAACCGTTTGCAAAACAAGTTGTTATCATTGTGTTTATATATTATTCAGACATTATTTCTCGAACGTTAATATGGCATTTTTTGTCTTGTTGCATTCGGGCATTAGTCAAAGTTTAAGTTTGGAAGATTAGTTAAAATTTTCTTCTTGTATGAGTTCCACATAACACAATATTCTTTCTTTAGTTCAAACAGTTCAAACACACCCAATTACACCCATATAATTATATCTGTCTCACAATCACTGAATACAACATTTAGCTAGTGGATTTTGTCTGTCTTTTGATTTTTTTTTTCCATTAGTTTACAGCTCCAGTGACTAATACTAACTTTTCTTTCATCATTATTAGCTATGGATCGTGTACTTTCATGTGAATCCTTAATAAAGTCTAAATAAATACAAATAACGACTAATACAAGTTCCGCCATTGTCTGACGATTGGAAGCGTATTCCAGAATTAAAAACCAAACAAAAGACAACAACAAAACATATTTATTCAGATTTCTCTCTGCTCCCATCGGGGTTAGGACTTTTACGTCTTGCTGCTGCTCCTGTTGGTGTTTGAGAGGTCAAGTTCTCCTTTTATTACTTTTTCCCCTCTCTTTGCAATTCTGTCATCTTTGTTCACACAGAGAGGAACAGGCACAGGCCATCACACCTGCTTTATAGACTTTTTTTTTCGTTTTGAGGTTAAAAACTTGACTTAAAACTGAAATCTGGTGAAATAACAGCACACTGACTTTTTGGATGTACTTGCATTTACTTAATGTGACTGTTCCATGTGTTTTTGCTCCGTCTTACTGTATCCTTGCATTTTCAACCCACACCTTCATCCATCACCATGCAGAGATTGATAGCAAAGACCCTTCCACTTGAAACTCAACAAATGGACACCTGCTTTAAAGCTAGAGTACCCAAGATTTTAAGAAGACATTTGTAAGAAAATCCATGTACCTTCTTCCTCGCTGTAGTTATGGTTCAATCCTTAGTTTTCAGACACATATTTTTGGTTTCCATCAGCTTTTTAAATGAAAATGAGAGTACCAGGCCTCTCTCAGCCAATCAGCTCCCAAGTTAGATACTCCAGCTTTTAATAGAATCTATTTTTTGTTCCGTTTAATTCATGAAAACAAGGTTAGAGTCTGCATATCTTACTATATCCACTGCAGCGACAGAGACGTGACATAGCGTTGTTAGCACGGGTCATCTGGTCTGCTGGGGACGCACCTCATTCTCGTCTCATTGAACACATAATGAGAGGGTAATCAGTAGGTGATTTTGCTGTTTTGGACTCATTAATATTTTAATTTAACCCCGCTGGCTTCCGCAGGTGTTTCTTTTCTACATAAGTTCTCCACAAGTTCTAAAATGTGATGTAAAAGTACTGTATGTTCACAAATCACTCGTTTGTCGTTATGGATCATGAGGGAAACAGGCTGATTTACATGTTAAGATTAAAATCATTTATTTGTGGGGAAATTTCCAGTGTTGCATCACAAGCTACAAAACGGTAGGAATGAGGAGCACACAGAAAAGTCTATACTTTAGAATAAATAAGGCAAGGCAAGTTTATTTATATAGCACAATTCATACACAAGGCATTTCAAAGTGCTAAACAAAACAAGAAAGCATTAAAATCATAAATAATCACTACATTAAAAAGAAAGATAAAAATATAAAATCCCTCAGTTGTATGCACAGCTAAACAGAACTGTTTTTAACCTGGTTTTAAACATTGTCAGAGAGGAGGCCTGTCTCACATCTTCAGGAAGATTGTTCCAGATTTTAGCAGCATGAATCTGAATTAAAATTAGTTTTACAATATCATCTCGATCAAAACTAGACGCTGGTTGAGTGCACCTGTAAATTAGGGCTGTAGCAAGGATCAACGGTTCACAACTAATCTATAATTATGATTGGTATTTTCTTCAGTAAAGTAAAGTAGTTGTGTATTTGAAACTTTGATACTCTGCAGATACAGTGACAGATATTCAGAACATCAATATTCACAGTTTGAAAGAAGCGCACGCAAATACACAGATAATACTTTACTGATCCATAGATTCACTCATCCAGAAAGCTTGCAGTTTAATGTGCAATTTAGCAGAAACATGTCTAGTTGATTTTTTTAGTTTTTTCAACCTTATGTAGATTTAGAGCCAACAAGTAAGTCAAGTTTATTTATATTGTGCATTTTACAGACCACGGCCACCTATGAATGTTAGGACAGACAAGTAAAACTCAAACATCAAAAGAACAAATGTATGAATATCAAAATAAAACAGGGTTGAAATAGATCTACTTAAATTCCACACCATGACACAACCTGAGCTAACATTGAAGCCATATTAAACATAATGCACCTTATTTTCTGGACCACTTGGCCTGATGTGCCATGGTGCACCTGTTTGTAGGCCGCACCATCATTTTTAAATTAACTACAAATTGTCCACATATAAGCCGGACTTAACTATAAGCCGCAGGTTTTCATGTAATGTAGCAGATAGACATCTGTTTTAACTGGTGTATAACAGTTTAACCGTTAGCTTCTATGTCTGTACTTATTCACAAGCCTATTTTGACCACAAACAAGTGTTGTATTTGCCATTACTGCAAATGGCAAATAAATGAATCTGAATCTGTATAGAATAGCTACTCAAACTTACATAATATTACTAATACATAATACCTAATATTTTGTAAACAAGGTAATAAATCTAACTTGTCTTTAAAAAGAACCACAAAAAAGAATTTTAACTCAAGCCAAAACAAACCTTTTTGAATCACACATTAGCCGCATCGCTATACATGTATAGGCTTTTTTTTAGTTCAAAAAACCATAAAAAGTAGTAGCTTATAGTCCGGAAGTTCTTCTATCACTATATTTGTAGATTTCCATCACTTCAACTTTGTTTTGGTACAATGTATAGAAAATATTCTCTGATCTTTCAACACCACAAATACTTAACTGTTATACATATACACCTATTTTTTATCAATCAATGAATCAATGAATCGGTATTAAAACTCAAAAGGATAAAACTCGGCTAAAAACGGCTACAAAAAACTGTTTTCAGCTTTTAGATTTAAATAATCTCGCCAACGTGTTCCTCTTCACGGATCATTTCTAGTCAAATCCAAATGAACTCAGTGAAGTCATCTGTTTCCCGAGACCCTGTGTGTGATCCTCTTCAATAATAATTTCACTTGTGATTTTACTAAATGTGTTTTTACCGCTTCATTCTAAACGCTGGTGTTCACCTTTTCACGAACAAGGTGTGAGGGTCAGAACCGTCACGGCGTCTAATTAGAGAGAAAACTCTTCTTTCGTCCTTTCATTTCAGTCGATGTGAGGTCCGTCTCATCTCTATCGCTTGTTTTCTGCTTTTGCAAACAGCTCGAGCGCCCGTTTCACTTTGTTTTCCTTTTATTACAGACATAAAAGCAGATAAACATGTCTTTTTCTCATGTAAAAATCGATGCAAAAACACGTTCTATCCCCGGCGATAATCTCCACCGCCGTGCTCCAGCCGTTTGCTTTATATTTTAATTAACACGGGGAGAAGATGTTTTTTTTTTTTTTTTTTTTGCGGGAGAAGAAAGTGAATTGATAGCACGGCTCTTGTCTTTTTATTTCGTGTCAAAATGCAATTAGTATGGACTCAACAAAACGTATCTGGGTTTTACTGCTGTGGAGATACACGGGATGTGTCTCTATAATCTCAGAAAATCCATGAAAATCTGATGGAATTACAGTAGTAGAGTGAAAGAGTTCTGTGACTGGTGCTTGGTATTATTATTATGGCAGATATCTTTATTTTAACTGTTAGACCTAAATTAGCAAGAGATCCCAGATTAGCAGGATGAGAGCCCAGATTAGCAGGATGAGATCCCAGATTAGTAGGAGGCGATCCCAGATTAGCAGGAGGAGATCCCAGATGAGCAGGATGAGAGCCCAGATGAGCAGGAGGAGATCCCAGATGAGCAGACGGAGATCCCAGATGAGCAGAAGGAGATCCCAGATTAGCAGGAGATCCCAGATGAGCAGGAAGAGATCCCAGATTTTCAGGAGGAGACCCCAGATTAGCAGGAGGAGATTCCAGATTATTAGGAGGAGATCCCAGATGAGCAGGAGGATATCCCAGATGAGCAGGAGGATATCCCAGAATAGCAGGAGATTCCGGATGAGCAGGAGGAGATCCCAGATTAGCAGGAGATCCCAGATGAGCAGGAGGAGATCCCAGATTATCAGGAGGAGACCCCAGATTAGCAGGAGGAGATTCCAGATTAGCAGGAGGAGATCCCAGATTAGCAGGAGATCCCAGATGAGCAGGAGATTCCAGATGAGCAGGAGGAGATCCCAGATGAGCAGGAGGAGATCCCAGATTAGCAGGAGGAGATCTCAGATGAGCAGGATGAGAGCCCAGATGAGCAGGAGGAGATCCCAGATTAGCAGGAGGAGATCCCAGTTGAGCATGAGGAGATCCCCGATGATCAGGAGGAGATCCCAGATGAGCAGGAGGAGATCCCAGGTGAGCAGGAGGAGATCCCAGATTATCAGGAGGAGACCCCAGATTAGCAGAATGAGAGCCGAGATGAGCAGGAGGACATCCCAGATTAGTAGGAGTTGAGCCCAGATTAGCAGGAGGAGATTCCAGATTAGCAGGAGGAGATTCCAGATTAGCAGGAGGAGATTCCAGATTAGCAGGAGGAGATCCCAGATTAGCAGGAGATCCCAGATGAGCAGGAGATTCCAGATGAGCAGGAGGAGATCCCAGATGAGCAGGAGGAGATTCTTGCCGACACCGGAGGGTCTACTGACAGTGGTGGTTCAAGAGATTCAAGATCAAGATGAATTAATTTTGTATGTAAAGGTACATTTGTCTGTGATCCAGGACATTTAACATAATCTATGGGCGTTGGTCGATCGCTCCTTGTGGACCAATGGCTCAGTGTGTTATAGTTGCATTTACTGTGTTTGATTCTTTGATCTGTGTTGGCAAATCGACAACTTTGCAAAGTCCTCTGCGTGTATGCGTGGATAGGGAGGTCTTGGGATAAAGGCAACGGATAAAGCGGAAGATGCACATGTAGGCCTAAAGACATGGATATTTTTACTTTTTTCAATAATTAGCATTTTAAAACATCCATCCATCCATTTTCTTCCGCTTTATCCGTTGCCGGGTCGCGGGGGCAGCAGTCTAAGCAGAGACGCCCAGACTTCCCTATCCACACACACTTCCTCCAGCTCGTCCGGGGGGACCCCAAGGCGTTCCCAGGCCAGCTGAGAGACATAGTCTCTCCAGCGTGTCCTGGGTCTTCCCCGGGGCCTCCTCCCGGTGGGACGTGCCCGGAACACCTCCCCAGGGAGGCGTCCAGGAGGCATCCGGAACAGATGCCCGAGCCACCTCAACTGGTTCCTCTCGACGTGGAGAAGCAGCGGCTCTACTCCGAGCTCCTCCCGTGTGACTGAGCTCCTCACCCTATCTCTAAGGGAGCGCCCAGCCACTCTGCGGAGGAAGCTCATTTCGACCGCTTGTATCCGCGATCTCGTTCTTTCGGTCATTACCCAAAGCTCATGACCATAGGTGAGGGAGGGAACGAAGATTGACCGGTAAATCGAGAGCTTTGCCTTTCGGCTCAGCTCCCTCTTTACCACAACGGTCCGATACAGCGACCGCATAACTGCGCACGCTGCACCGATCCGCCTGTCAATCTCACGCTCCATTCTTCCCTCACTCGTGAACAAGACCCCGAGATACTTGAACTCCTCCACTTGAGGGAGGACCTCTCCACCCACCTGAAGAGGGCAGGGCACCTTTTTCCGGTCGAGCACCATGGCCTCAGATTTGGAGGTGCTGATTCTCATCCCAGCCGCTTCACACTCGGCTGCAAACCGTCCCAGTGCATGCTGCAGGTCCTGGTTCGTTGGAGCCAACAGGACAACATCGTCCGCAAACAGCAGAGATGAAATCCTGTGGTCCCCGAACCGGACCCCCTCCGACCCCTGGCTGCGCCTAGATATTCTGTCCATAAATACAGTGAACAGAACCGGTGACAAAGGGCAGCCCTGTCGGAGGCCAACATTCACCGGGAACAGGTCTGACTTACTGCCGGCAATGCGAACACAGCTCTGGCTCCGGTCATACAGGGACCGGATGGCCCTCAGCAGAGGACCCCCGACCCCGTACTCCCGGAGAACCCCCCAAAGGACACCCCGGGGAACACAGTCGAACGCCTTCTCCAAATCCACAAAGCACATGTGGACAGGTTGGGCGAACTCCCATGAACCCTCGAGTATCCGATGGAGAGTATAGAGCTGGTCCAATGTTCCGCGACCGGGACGAAAACCACAGCCGTTTTAAAACAGTTGAACGATAAATAATTTCTACATAAATGTTTTAATGTAGTCTACACCAATGCATTAAGAGCAGCCACGGTAAGAGTAAAGCGTTTCCTGTGATTTTCTAATTAAAACAACTTGTATATTAAACACTAGAAGAACCAACAATGGAATCAATCTCATTTTTACGATACCAGCAGGAACCAAACCATATCGGTTATTTCCAAACTTATTTGTTAAACGTTCGCAACTCTATCACAGTTTGATTAGGATTTTTTATAATAAATTGGTAAATGTTTCATGTGATACCATAGAAATATAAATATATACCAATCAGTGTTGGGGAAGTTACTTTTAAAAATGTGTTGTTACTTTTGTCTTAATTTTGTGTCACTGTTTTTATTGACTACAGTCTATGCTCTCCACTAAACGCTGTCAAACCAAAGAGACGCTTCTAAACCAGACTGTCATTGACTTTGCATTGAAACTGGATGCAACCAATGGTCCAGTGTGATTGCCCCTTAACCCTTTGAACCAATGCGAAGCTGTGAAACCGATTGAGCCAATGAAACGCTTCGACACACTGACACAGTTGATGCTCAAAGTGAAGCAGTGGGTGCAGAGTCCGAGCCACTGACATGTTTATGACATGAGCGGCTGTTTTGATACACGCTCCAACGCAGTGTGTTGAAATAGTTTGCTTTGGGAAGAACGACACATGCCCCAGAGCCACTTGTTGTTTGCCCATCACTTAAAAGTAATGTTGCGGCAGAAAATCAGAATCCTTTTATTGCCATGTGAGCAACAGGAAGTCACAAACCAGGAAAGTGCTTTGGCTCACGGTGCAAACAAGTTAAAGCAGAATAAAAACAAGAAGGAATGCATAAATAAAAATCTACATACATTTCTTCAGTGTATGTTTATGTCAAAATAAACTGCTTTACATTACTAAATGATTGATAGTTAAAGCATTACATTATGTGTTTTGTCTGTTTTTTTTTTTTTTTGCATTATATGATTTTTATTATTTAACTGCATTTAATTACCTTGTTTAATCACCTGTGCGATTGCCTGAAATAAATGAATAAAAGAAAAAAAAAGAAAAATACCATCTAAGATTTAGAAATCTATGAATGATCTACAAATCTGCAAAAACTTGAAAATGATCGTAAAGTCATAGTGGTGTAAATCCATTCCATCCCCAGTGATCCATCTCAGAACAAGTTTCAACATCTGTCTCTCAAGTTTCCTGCGTTTATTCTCCCATCCAGAAGTCCTTTTCCAATCTGAAGGAGACAGGAGGCGGAATTTAATACGTGTTGAGCTTGGGACCGGCCCTAAGGGAGAGGATCCAGAGCTCACTCCTTCCTCCAGGGCAGGACTAATGCTCACCTCAGACTCAATTCCACCTTTCTCCATCAGATTTTAAACATACTTCTGGACAAGATGGACAACTGTATTTGAATCTTGTTTTGAGGTCGTAGGATGAGGCTATAATACAGGACATAGTAACTTTAATTGCCGTTAAAGTTACATTTTGGGGATTTAAAGGGTTTGGTCATTCATTTAACTCCTTTAATATAGCACATTTCATAAACAGGTAGTTTCCAAAGTGCTGTACAACAAGCAACAAAAACATTGAAAAAAACACACATATATGTAAAAATAAAAATAAAATAAAAAAACAAAATAAAAACAAAAGGAATACAATAAAAACACATGTAAATATTGAGCTGATTGGTCCAGACAAAATTGCATCCTCATTTTCAACATTTTAAGGCAGATTTCCAATTATTGGCCAAATCCAGCGTACCACTCTGCTGTGATGGGAGACCACAGTGGGGCGGCTGCGGCTGTAAAGTGCCAAACTGTTGTTGTGTCCTTAGGCAAGACACTTCACCCACATTGCCTAGAATGAATCTGGTGTGTGTGTGAATGGTTGGTGGTGGTCACAGAGATCAATTGCACAGGCCGGTTGCCTCGCTTCTGTCAGTGTGCCCCAGGGCAGCTGTGGCCACATAAGGCGTTTATCACCACTGTGTATAGAGTGAAAGAGTAATGACATGTGAAGCACCTTTGAGTGTCAACAAAGCACTATATAAAACCAATTATTATCATTATTATTATACTTTTACAAGTCTCTTTGCGCAGTGCCATATACAGTCACATGATAATAACCAAAGCGTAAAACACCAATCACCCTAAAACATGCATTATTCCCATTTCACACTCCGAACACTCTTTTCTTGCGGCTGTCGTTCCTCGTTCGTCTTTCCTCGCCGCGAGCATTACCTATGCAGAGCAGTGTTTGTGAGCGGCGTGTAAATAAATGTGCATGAGTCAACACTGCATGTGAAAGGGATACTGATAAGCGCCTCGATGCTCTTAATAGTTAGCCTTAAACTCATTTACTGTCGTTTCTTCGCCTGCCCACGTCGCGGCAGCGCTCCGCCGCAGATAGTATTCAGCTGTAATTATGAATCATAAAGCCGTGGCCACCGGAGTCACATATAGCAGCGGTTTGAATGGCACATTAGGGGTGAAAATACATGCAGAGCAGAGGATAGTATAGTAATAAGAGCCAGGAGCAGAGGGAGTCTTAAGGCGGTATGCATACGACTGTTCGTCATTATGAGCTTGATTATAAAGAGCCTGCAGTGAGGACATGAACTCTGGATGGATGGAGATGTTTTATTACCTGCGTTCATTTAACAACAAAACTCCCTGAGCAGTCGATTGGACAGCTTTTAGTTTTGCAAGTGTAATTAGATACAGTAGATAGATAATGATAGATATATATCATTATATGATAGATGGATAGATACAGTAGATACATAGAAAGTGATGGATAGATAATTATAGATTATAGATAATAGATTGACTGATAGATAGATAGAAAGATTCTTATAGATTGCTGTAGGAGAAATAGTCCAGAATACACATTCAGGTATAATATATACGGCACGGTGGCTGAGTGGATAGCACTCTCGCCTCTCAGCAAGAAGGTCCTGGGTTCGAATCCCGGTCGGACCAGGGCCTTTCTGAGTGGAGTTTGCATGTTCTCCCCGTGTCTGCGTAGGTTTCCTCCGGGTGCTCCGGTTTCCCCTACCACTAAAAATATGTACAATAGGTCTGGCATGTGCCTCCTGTACTGGCAACCCCACTCCCAAAAATCACAATTGTAAACCGCTTTGAGACTCCGATGTGCAGTGAAAAGGCGGTATATAAATAAAGCTTACTACTACTACTAATATATTATATATATATATATATATATATATATATATATATATATATATATATATTGCACTGGTATAAAATAAGGATATTGCAACAATGCATGACACATGGAAACAGGTTGGAATCAGGTTGGCAGTGTTCATTAGTCCTTAATGTTTGTTGTACAGTCTGACAGCAGCAGGAAGGAAAGACCTGCGGAACCTCTCCTTCACACATCGAGGATGAATTAGTCTTTCACTGAAGCTGCTCTCCAGAGCAGAGAGAGTGTCCTGCAGGGGGTGACAGTCATGGTCCAGCATAGATGTTAGTTTGCTCAGGACCCTCCTGTCCCCCACCTGCTGCACTGTGTCCAGGGAACAGCCCAGGACTGAGCTGGACTTCCTGATGACCTTGTCCAGCTTCTTCCTGTCCCTCTCTGTGATGCTGCTGTTCCAGCAGACCACGCCGTACAAGAGGCTGATGCCACCACAGAGTCATAGAAAGTTTTCAAGAGTGGCCCCTGCACTCCAAAAGACCTGAGCCTCCTCAGCAGGTAGAGGCGGCTCTGGCCCTTCTTGAAGAGGGCGTCTGTGTTATGAGTCCAGTCCAGTTTGTGGTTCAGATGAACACCCAGGTACTTTTAAGAGTCCACTCTCTCGATGTCCTTTCCCTGGATGTTCACTGGAGCTGGAGCGGCAGAGTGACGTCTGCGGAAATCCACCACCATCTCCTTGGTCTTCCCCGCGTTGATGAGGAGGTGGTTCCGCTGACACCAGTCCACAAAGTTCTGTATAACTCCTCTGTACTCTGCGTCATCGTCCTCGGAGCTGAGTCCGATGATGGCAGAGTCGTCAGAGAACTTCAGTAGAACACAACCGTCCGTGTTGTGTCTGAAGTCCGCAGTGTAGAGGGTGAAGAGGAACGGCGCGAGGACAGTCCCCTGGGGGGCCCCCACACTGCAGGTCAGGACCTCAGACACAAAGTCCCTGGTTCTCACATGCCCCAGATTGTCTTAAGATGAAATGAAAAAAGATGCAGGACCAAACTTTTAACCCTTTACAGTTGGAGGGCCAAAACTAATACATAAAAGCCATCAAATCATGTATTGTATGTCCTACTGAAAGAGAAAGGGAAAAAGTGGGGGAAAACTTTTCAAAACTTTGAGAAAAAGCTAAAAAGCTTGAAAATCCTTGGATAATACCTCCAGCTAAACGTCTCTGCTGGAGAAAAGTTTGTGGCAGTGAAAGTTGGAGCGGTGTTGAGCAGAGCTGAGGAGGTGGACAAAGAGGCAGTGACAGATCTGAAGAGCGCCCCCCGCTGGGCCTCAGAGCAGCAGCACTCATCTGTCACAGTCTTCCCGCGTCTGTGAGAGAGACGCACACAATCCAGGTTACAGCAGCATTATCAGCATCTAAGGATTGTGTGTGTGTTTTTTTACAGTTGTATTTTGAGTCAGTGAGCATTTTAATTATAAGTGATTTTGGTAAGGCAAGTTCATTTGTATAATTCAGTTCATACACAAGACAACTCAAAGTGCTGAACACAAACAAGAAAAGAAAGAAAATCCGGTCGAAACATGTGGCGTGTTCTCCCCATATCTGCAAAGGTTTCCTCCAGGTGTTCCGGTTTCACCTACAACTAAAAACATGCACAAGAGGGAAAATCCTCCACCTGAGCCACTGTCGCTCCAGTAGTATTAGTAGTAGAAGCCTGTCCCACGTTTTCAGGAAGACTTTTTCAGATTTCAGCTGCATAAATCTGAAAACTCTGCCTCCCCATGTTTTGTTTAGTCCTGACTGGGCACCAGCAGGAGGCCGGTCCCTGTGCTCCTCAGAGTTAGATCATGTGGCTAGTCGGTCGTTACGCAGGTAATCAACACAGCTCTGAAAAATAAACTTAAGTCAAACTAAGTGAAACTACAGATGTCTGGATGAGATGCTGGAGCACGAGGAGCAGCTTACATGACCTGTTGACAGAACCCTGGACGTGGCTCACTCCCGCAGAGTTCCCAGCAGCGGAGACGGAGGCATCGGAGGCTTCATGGAAAAGGTTATAGTCTTAAAGCAGCCGCGCTCTCTCTCTCCGGGGGCCTCTGGCATTCTGTGTGGACGGATGTACGACATGAAAGGACACAGTATTTACATTCGCAAATGTCAGATTTGATGTCCAATAGAGCGGCGAGTATTGTCAATCAGAGGAGCGTGTTTGGGTTCGGCTGTATGGTCTTTTTGGCGTCTGCTTGTATATGAGATGGCACAGGAAATCAAACAAGGAACCGGCATCACAAGACAAATGAACAGGCCTAAAAATAAGTAAATTATATATACATTTTCTTTAGATTTTTATGATATATTTATTTAAACGTATTGGTAATTTCTGTCTGATAATGTATTGTAATGTATCCATCTACAGTATTTTTAACCTGCTCAGGGACTACAGGTGTAAATTATCCCTGCTGCCACAACCTGGTACCATGCATCGCTAATGTTTATTGTACACTGTCCTTGTAAGAATAAAAACCATACCATATTTTATTGGTGGACACAATTAGCATGTACTTTGGGGGAAATGATAAAACAATACATTTGATTGATCTATAATATGATTTGAAAAGTTAAGAGTTAAGTACATGCAATACAAATTACTGATGAATACAAATCAGAAAGTAAATTTCAACCCCCAGAGCTGTCAATTTGAAGGCTTTCAGTTTTGGATGCGTCACTACTCACCGTATGTAGATCTGTGGTCTTTGTGGCCATAATCTTTGGGATTATGGACTGGTGGGACTGAACAGTTTAGAATTGTTCAGACTTTCTTATACTTGCATGTAATTTATGAATCCAGACTCCTAAACCGAGCTCTTGGAATAATCAGTAACTCTTCTGGCCACTGGGAAAGCTCTGTTCCAGCTTCTTCCCTCTGTTCACTGAGAAGCAGGACATCTGGATTTTCTAACAGCCCCTTTGTACTAACTGTTATGAGTTTAAAGAAAGCACTTTATTGATCTTGCACTTGTATTGAAACTGTTTTTGTTGATTAATTCCACAGCAACGGTTGTTTTTTGTACTTTTTAGCTTGTTTTATTCCTTATATTTGCCTGGTACCACTGGGGACTTTTGCACATATATTCCAATATGGTTTTACTGCAAATGGCAAATAAAATTAATCTGAATCTGAATTGTGCTCTTATCTCAAACAATGAAAAAGCGTACAATATGTAATAGTGATGGCAAGGACTGCGATAACAATATTTATAGTGTTATTATTTCCTCAACAAAGAAATCAGAAATCGAGTTGTTGCTGCTTCTCCAAGTTGTGTTTTGTTCTTTCCAGTTACTCAACCAAGACTCGAGCAGCAAATGGAAGTCTATTTGTCCATATAATTATGTACAAAGTGTCATTGTAGATGCTTATATTGTTGGATGGAAATAAAGTTCACACTTATGTTATTGCAAATGAAATAGACAGCCTGCTTTTTGAGTGCGCTAATAGCTTTGGAATCAGCACCACGGACAGCTCCCTCACCTACAGCCTTTAACGCAGTGTTTTTACCCCTGAAAAGCACTTTGGGAAACGCATTTGGAGCTTTTAAAAGTCTCCTCGGATCGATCATTATCTGCTTCTTCACAATCCACAAAGTACCAGTCTTTAAATGAGGCTCTATGAGAAACTGTGAGCTGTAGACCAGAGGTAACCGCCCATGGGTTATAAAGTAAGCTTGTCATTAGTTTGTCGTGTCTATTTTGCATAAAGTTGGCAAACTTCAAGATGATGTACAAGACGTCTAACTTTTATGATGTTGCCATGATTGATTTAATCACTTGGTGTCGAAAAGCAGGCTCTGTGTGCGTCACTCATGTACTTGGCAGCCACTATTTTGCATACATCTGCAAGTTTAGAATTTAAAATCATGCATTCGGGAAGTTTATATCAAACAAAGGTCTTACACGATAAGGTTTGTTTATTTGTTTTTATGTAGATCCCATTAGAGACTGAAATATCCAGAAGCTATTCTTCCTGGGGTCTCATCAATGTCTCGTTGGCTTGAAAAAGGAATGTACAAGAAAATATGCTAAAACAAAAATACATTAATGTTGTGACAAAAATGCAGTATTTCATTTTACTTGTTTAATGAAATGAAATATCGGGAGAGAGAGAGAGAGAGACACAGAGAGAGAGAGACAGACAGATGGAGAGACAGAGAGAGAGAGACAGACAGAGAGGGAGAGAGACACAGAGAGAGAGAGAGAGAAAGAGAGAGAGACAGACAGAGGGAGAAACAGAGAGAGAGAGACAGAGGGAGAGAGAGAGAGAAAGAGACAGACAGAGGGAGAGACAGACAGAGAGACAGACAAAGGGAGAGACAGAGAGAGAGAGAGAGACACAGAGAGAGAGAGAGAGAGAGAGGGAGAGGCAGAGAGAGAGACAGAGGGAGCGACAGAGAGAGAGAGAAAGAGAGAGACAGACAGAGGGAGAAACAGAGAGAGAGAGACAGGGAGAGAGAGAAAGAGACAGACAGAGGGAGAGACAGACAAAGGGAGAGACAGAGAGAGAGAAAGACAGAGGGAGAGGCAGAGACAGAGACAGAGGGAGAGACAGAGAGAGAGAGAGACACAGAGAGAGAGAGAGAGAGAGAGAGAGAGAGAGAGAGAGAGAGAGAGAGACAGAGAGAGAGAGACAGACAGAGAGGGAGAGAGAGACAGAGAGAGAGAGAGAGAAAGAGAGAGAGACAGAGAGAGGGAGAACAGAGAGAGAGAGACAGAGGGAGAGAGAGAGAGAAAGAGACAGACAGAGGGAGAGACAGACAGAGAGACAGACAAAGGGAGAGACAGAGAGAGAGAGAGACACAGAGAGAGAGAGAGAGAGAGAGGGAGAGGCAGAGAGAGAGACAGAGGGAGCGACAGAGAGAGAGAGACAGACAGAGGGAGAAACAGAGAGAGAGAGACAGGGAGAGAGAGAAAGAGACAGACAGAGGGAGAGACAGACAAAGGGAGAGACAGAGAGAGAGAAAGACAGAGGGAGAGGCAGAGACAGAGACAGAGGGAGAGACAGAGAGAGAGAGAGACACAGAGAGAGAGAGAGAGAGAGAAAGACAGAGGGAGAGGCAGAGACAGAGACAGAGGGAGAGACAGAGAGAGAGAGAGACACAGAGAGAGAGAGAGAGAGAGAGAGAGACAGAGGGAGAGGCAGAGACAGAGACAGAGGGAGAGACAGAGAGAGAGAGAGAGACACAGAGAGAGAGAGAGAGAGAGACAGAGGCAGAGAGAGAGACAGAGGGAGAGACAGAGAGAGAGAGACAGAGGGAGAGAGAGATGGAGAGAGAGACAGACAGAGGGACAGAGAGAGAGACAGAGGGAGAGATAGAGGGAGAGAGAGAGAGCTCCTGACTTTACTCTAAAACAACATATTGTGCTGACAATTAAAGTGCCGCTTTAATTAACCAAGTTTGTCCAGGGGTCGACAACATCCTTAAAAAACCTGTGTCCATTTTGATTCACACCACAGCTACATTTGTTTATAGAATTTGGTGACACAATCAACAACAAATGTCATTGTAAACACACACAGTTACCAACATGATTCCAAAGGGTCTGAGCTTCTCAAAGAGGTATGGCATGACTGTATCGGTGGAGCTGAAGTCGGCCGGATGACACTGTGAACACATTTCATTTTAGCTTTTCTAATGCCAAAGGACCACACACAAGGACACAACAGGCCACCTTTGGCTCGCGGGCCTAGGTTTGGACATGCCTGGACTAAACTCTAGGATCCTTAGAGTGAATGTTGGTCAGGTCGTCTTGCCCTGTCTCATTTCACACAGAAATCTCTATACTTGTCCTAAAATACACGCATCCTCCTTTAAGGGAAAGTCATAATTTTGCTTTCACTTTGAAGCTTTGTCTATAGAAACAGTACAAATTGAGTAAAACAGGTGAATTTGGGGCCTTCTTCCCCCACGAGCCCGTTAGGCGGTCCTCATAATGCGGTCCCCGTTGGAAAGCATTACCACCTCTTCTTTTCTATCTGATTATTTACACTTACATAATGATATAATTTCCACTTGTGTTTTCTCATAGCAGCCCACTCGCTCTATAGCCTCTTCGTCTCAACGCAAAGTGGAGAAATCAAGCCGTTATGCTGTCTTTATTATAGAGGGGGAAAAAAACCTCTGGTATACTCGAGCGGCAAGTGGCTGGGAAAATTGTAGACAGATTTTATCTTTTGTGAGGAAAAAATTTCTCCAGACTGTGACTGACAGGTGAGTTAAGGGAATAGCAATGCAGTTTTGTGGTCTTTGAGTTGTCTGCGTGATATGAGGAAAAGTTTTATATAAATTTACATAGCACTTTTCATTCTCCATTGGGCGTT